ATTGCAGTTTACTGATACTTCGTAGTGGTGGCTGCATTTGTTTTCTCTGTTTTTAGGCTTTTTTTCCCCTTATTTTTATCTGGTGATCCGGCCAGAAAGTTTGTTATTTTTTTAGCTTCCTGTAACAAGCGAAGCTGACCAGCAAAAATGGCAGATAGAGTGTTGTGAAAAACCATTTAACACTGTCAAGGTCAGCTTGAATTCATTTAAGTAAAACCTTTAACCTCAAAATGGAGAAAAAAAAAACTGCTGTTCTAACTGCTATACAAGTGTTAGCTGGAGTTTGGATCTAATTTGTTAGTCCATGTAAATCTGTCAGTGCATCTAGCACTATCCTCTCCACAGAGACCATATTGATGTCTAAGGATGGCTCCATTGCTCCTCCATAGAGGATAGACAGGAAGTGCATTACTGGCTGGATCATCAGATAAAAATAAAGGGAACAAAAGTTTAAAAAACAAAAACTAATTCAGCCACCACATGTAAGGGATGGCAAGCTGCAATATACACATTTTTTGTTTTTGAGTTTAGGTACGCTTTAACCTGAAGAAAAAAAAAAATCACATGGCATATGGGTTACAAACCATTGTATAATGGGATGCAAGACGTCCATTGTTTCTAGTGATCTGTAGGGTTGGAAAACCTCTTGAGTAAGCTTTAGGTTTCTACTAATTCAGCAGAGATAAGATAAGCCACACTACACCACCTATGGGGAAACATAGGGAGACAACTTGACAAGCCCTGAATAGTGGATGTGAATGTCAGATAAATGGAGGCTCTGCCAAGAGTTAAATTGCTTGTAAGTTCCAAGGTATACTGTCAGCTTTACATAGCAGCATTTTAGAACTGTATAGCTGCTGGATTTCTAGAACATTGGGCTATACATGGAAATATTACAAATGAAGCCTGTGCACCCTGAAAAAGATCACTTCATAATTGTAAGCTCCTGCAAGCAAGCAGTTTGCATAACAATGTTCCAGTCTCCTAAATTGCTGCCCAAACACTGTCTAATCAAGTTGCCTGGTGTTCTTTCTCAGGGAGTCTGTTTGTGTGATAATAGAAGATTCCTGGAATATATTAGCATCTAATGCTGAGAAACATGCTAATCTTGGGATACCTGCACGACTGAAATCTTAAAATGAAACCATAGTGGATTATTTTTCATGCCATTCTCATTCCAAGTTTTTATTGTTATATTTATCCAAAAGTAATTATCATATGACTTCTACATTATTCCTTCTCACAGTTTAATACTTTTAGTTACTGGCTTTTAGATATAGATCTGTAAACGTATCTAATCCCAAAAAATGTAATATATTCATTGTATGTAGTCCTAAAATGTGGTGGCTGCTCATTTATTGTCCAGTCACAGGCTAGGACAGTGCTTAGACCAGGCTAAATTGCTCAACTGAAAGAGTTCACAAACATGTATGCTTATGTATTACTTTTAAAGGAGAACTATGGGGTTAAGGCTTTTCCCCATAGTTCTCCTTAGGGTAACGGGAGGACACAAACTAGCGACCTCCCGTCACCCTAGGCTCAGTATACCGCGAGCAGTACCTCGCGGTATACTGAGACGCCCTCGAGAGGTGAGCGAACGCCGGTATGTGTTCCCTCACCTCCCGATCTACTGAGCCGACCTGTGACACAGGTCGGCTAGAACTATGAGGTGAGTGAAAAGCAAGGTATGCAAAGAATACAAAGCCAGCAATTAAATAGCAGTATGTGTTTGTAGATTATCATTACTAAACATTTCTAAGGGTGCCTTTGCTGTTATTTTACAGATATGGGTAAAGTTCCTCTTTAAAGATAAAAAGGGCTGAGATAATAAATGTGGCCATACACGTAATATTATTATCATTCAACATATCAACAAAAATTACGTTTTTAAACAAAATACATTTAAATTAAATATTTAAATAAATGATTTATTTTTACGTGTATGGCCAACTTGCTGTGGCAAAAATGCTGCTCCAGACTTGTCCTGGTGTTGGCCACATGTCTGAAGTCTTTGGAACTTGTTCATTTAAACTTTGCTGAAAGGGAGATCCCACTTCAGATTGCCTTGTCCTACAGTAATCTTGTAATCCAGTGCCTAGGCCTTCAGACAATACTAGTAATGGCTAAAACTGGAGGGAGCATAGAGCAACAGATTCTCAGGGCTTGTTCACACCAAATGCAGACCATTTTTCCCGGCCTAAAATGGGCTTTCAGTGCATTCCAGGGTGTCTGCATGCATTTTGGTGCGTTCAAGAGCAGAAAAAAAATAGGACATGCTGCAGTTTTTTTTACATGCTCTAGAACTGAACACTCTGGTGTGAACTAGAGCCCAAAATACCATTGGAATTCATTGGACGCAGTTTTGATCTGTTCCGTAACTGCTCTGCACCTGCTCTGCGTTTGGTGTGAACTAGCCCTCAGGGAAAGTCAAATATATCATCATCCTCTGCATTTTGTGTGACTGTAGACATATTACAATATGTTTAATAATAAACAGTTGAGTAATGCAGGTTCTATTTTTCTTAGTTACAGTAACACAATTTTTCAGCACAAGCCCCTGAGAGATCTACTCTTCATCAGATTAAAGCAGCAATGATTCACAGATTTAACAATCTGTGAAAGAGTAAAAAAAAAAAAAAAAAAAAGAGTTGGTTATGGAATGAAATGAGTCAATAAGGTAAGAATGATTATGAAGTAACTGCTAAGAAAACAAAACTAATATCACGTGTACACCAATCCATATGCAGTAACGAGCCATTTTTTGGGGGCATGCATGCATTTATGTACATGATATGTGCACATATTTTGTTCATTAGGCAAATTGAGAGCGAAACATTCAGAACAGGTATATGTATGGTGCAGATATGTTAAACATGCACTAAACTGCATCACCACATTCATTTTGGTACATTTGCCATTGCTTTCAATAGGTCAGCATGCCATTAATACACAAAAATGTAGCTCGTCTTGTATATTAAAAATGCAATAAGCTGCCATGCAGAGACGTGAACCAGCCACACAGAAATAAATGGGATTTCTACTTGAATTTTGAAGCAGTAAAAATCATGCGTTTTACTGAAGGAAAATGGACTTGGGTTCTCAGATTGACATTAAATCCATTATGTTTTGGATCAAATAGAATGATTATTTATCCAAAGGTTTTTCTTTCCGGAGAGGTACTAAAAATTTTCAGTCATCTTTATTTAACCATTTCAGCAAGACTAACATAGTTTTATGTTAACAGTTCACATAGGTCAGCTTTTAAGACACACTGGATGTGTTTCTCACCGAAAAAATATTTGGCATGTCTAGTTATAATGATTAAATACTGTATATTAGAGGGTTTCTTCCTGATAGCAATTCTCCAAGTCACTCTCAATAAGGGTGCCAGTGCAAAGTGTCTCCCACTTCATTCGCGTCACAGCGGCATTCATTTCTACAATACCTAGAATTAGTGCTGTGAACTATTCTCGACGTGTACTACAGTATGTAAGAATCAATGTATAATCTGATAGGTAGTAAAGGTAGTAATCTGCAGCAAGTCATTATTACAAAAAAACTGTTAGTATTTATATACAGGTTACTTATATCTGCCATATTTTATACCTTGTGAAAACAAATTATGCTGTCAAGCCCATATATGCATATTGTGGCCGGTGTGGAGCTTTGGTGTCTTATGTATATTGTATGAGGTGTTGGCAGGTTCAGAAATACAGTTTAAGAACACACTACTGCAAAACTTTCTTCCAAGAAGCAAGCCTCAAGGAAAGGAGTTAATTAAGGAAGTCCCTACATCAAAAGGGACACAGCATTAGGAAATGTGTTTATCCACCTTGAAGAAAACTCTGAAGCTATGAAAAAACACATATTGAGGGCCATTCTTCTTGAATGCAGTGATCATTACTAGTGTCTGAAATAAGAAATGTGTGCTGTGACACCACCACCATCTCCTGTTTTCTGCCCAGTGTTGGGAAAATGTAAAAGGACCTGATAACAGCCAGCAAGGTGGTGGGCAGCTATTGTATTTGTATACCATGAGTGACACTAAACTCCGGAGTTCAATCTTAAAAATGCATTCGAAGGCCCTAACTATTATCACTCAGCTGTAAATCCTCAAAATATCTCTGAATTGGTGCTGACACTGTCCTTCCTTCTGGAGGGTGACTACTTTTGTTCCCCATGGTCTCTGTGTGTTGTAAAGTAGCCACTGCTCCAAGCTCACTCCTGCGATGGACTACAATCTTAATACAAATTTATAAACGAAACATGAGATTGTAGTCATTCATGGGAGTGAGCTTAGAGTGGTGGCTACTTTACAACACTCAAAGACCATGGGGAACAAAAGTAGCCACCCTCCAGAAGTAAGGACAGTGTCAGCACCAATTCAGAGATGATTTGAGGATCTACAGCCGAGTGATACACAAATAAGATACATTTTTGTTAATAGTTAAAAATACATTCAAGTACCATAAGATTTAACGTCTGAGTTAAGTGTCACTTTAAAGGAAACGTATAGTCTTTTTGTACATATTAAGTCAGGACTAAAAAAAAAAAAAAGTTGCTGTAAATTAGAAGACAGCCAAGCAGTCTGTAAAAGTAATGGGTGCTGCAATAGCCAATAGCTATTTTATACTTGTTACTTGTTCCGATTCACATAGCACAAGCTAAAAGAATTTAAAAAACAATTAAAATAATTTTGCAGTTTAAATTGTTTTTAGTTGGGTTAGGGTTTTAAGGGTTAAAATTTCTTTGCGCTTCTATTTCTTTGAAATGTTAGGAGGGGCTGTGAAGGGTCTTGTCCATTGTATGTTAATGAAGCGTATCAGATAAACACAATGAATATATATCACACAAATCTAGGAATATGTTTTACCTATTGTTTTTTGCCTGCACTATATTCATCTAAAACAGAGCCCACTGAAAATAAATAATCATTAAACTGTTCATTCATATGAAAAATGAAACAAACTGCTAATATTCAGAGATATAAAACACATTACCTCTCTTTCAGCGAATTGTACGTGTATGTCTTCTTTCTGTACATTCTTGATCATTAATGAAACGATGACCTGAGACTCTGTTTGATACCAGTCGTGTCTAGAAGATGATTTTTAAAAAAAGCAGTATTTAAATGGGGTCTTATGCTTCACTATCAATGTATGACGTCATCAATGTAAAGAGAACAAAAAAAACAAAGTTACAATGGAACTAGAGCACAGCATTTCAGTCACTAACTCCAATGTCCACATGATGGTGGGTGCACCAGTCAATCTTCTACCTTCATTATGGAAGTTTACCACATACAACAACTAAGTAGTCAAGCTGCCTCTTATGCCAGCAATAATTTGGTGTTGGCTTTGTATCACTCCTATAAGCATTAGAACAACTTACATCACTGGACAGTCCAAGTGTCTAACTCCATACAACTAAAATTAATTTGCATTATATCACATTTAGGGTTAGGATTAGGATAAGGATAACTGTTCTGGACAACAGTTATATTTCAGGTTTAAAAATAAATCTCAAAACGTATTTACACTTTTGCAGCCAAACTGGGATAACAACTACTTTACACGTGTTACATGTTCCCATTCGCATAGCATAACTTCCTTTCCCATGATGTTTCTCCAAAACAAACTCCAGGACTGAAACGTCCTGCTTAGTTCTCATTGTCTGGGGGGATGGTTGCAAATATCTAACTGTCTGTACTAAGCTGGGGGATTTCATTATCATATGATGAGCAGGCCTGTAAGGAAAGTTGTCCCTCAGTCTGCTCCCTTGTCAGCTCACAGACTTCTATCCCAACCACTAGAAGCTGCCTGTAGAATCCTATGTATAATCCTCCAAAGAAACCGCTAAGAAAACATAAGAAATCTTACATAAAATTAAATTTCAGGTATGCTGTGTGAATGGCAAAACATAAACATATAGAGGCAGTTTCTCATATTTGGCTGCACAAGGAAATGCACTTTAAGCATAAAGGGGATAAAGAGTATGTATGGGTGTTTAAGACAGTCAGAGGATGAGTGTAAGGTTAGAAGTCAGTGTGTGGAGAATCACTTTTTTCACTTGTTCTCATTGTGAAGTCTGGTGCCATGTTCTTGGAGATGAGAAGCAACATACTATCATATATAGACTTACTGGTATATAGGGCTTTATTATCTAAAAAATAGGCTTAGCATACTGACCCACAAAATGTAATTTGATTTCATTTCTCTGAGCATAGAGATATCAATAACATACAAGCATATACACGTCAGCACTTGTAAAGGCATAGCATAGAAATCAGTTTACGATTTATTAAAAATACAAAGGGCGTTGGGCAATAGAACTGATTTCACTGCTTTGCATCACACTGGTTCCATGTCTGCTTTTAGACGAGGAGTAAGGAAGGTAAAACATATGCCCAGCATAAACCAAGTGAACAATTCTACCTATAAAAAGCAGTGTGTAGATCTTTCATTTAATTCAAGAGGAAAGCAGCCAGATTTTACATTCTAATAACGAGTCCAAGGACAACTGCTTCCGTGGGCATATGTCACTATTCAACATTCTACCAATTATAATATTAATGCAAAACACATGATATATCATATAAATGGTTGATTGCCTATTCCTTAAGATATTAGTAGACACATAGAGATTCAAAACTGCATTTAATATACTCAAGTGCCAGTATTATAGCAAACAAAAAGCGTAAACAAAAAAAAAAACTCAGCTTTTTGAAGAACATCAGCAAAGAAATGCAGTACATTTACTGACATTTAAAAGCAATGATCATTAAGCTTTTAAAAACATCTCTCTCGCACATTTCTGCTGAAGATTAGCCTTTAGAAAACAAAATCAACCAAGTCTATAAGCAAGTTAATATGAAAATCCTTGCCATTTCGCTTACTTTAGAAGTCAATACTAAACCATTAAGTGGCACAACAGTGCAGACTAGTGGCCAAATGTCCACAGTGCTGAATACAATACCAACTTCTATATTCATTTAACCTGCAGGCAGTTTCCTTTTAATCCACAAAAGTATATTGAGAACATTACAAATATAATGATAATGTGTGTTTAATTATTTTCAATTACATTAAACACTGCAAATGGTAAAACAATGAGGCCTTCTGTGTATTCAAATCATTGTCCTGCATTTCTCTCCAAACTCGACGCACAAAAGGAGGAAAAGCAGATTAGCAAAATAACATGGTTCTCTCCTACAAAATCATTATTGATTCCATTCTATGTTTAATCATTGTACAATTACAAACTGGCTTAGGATGAAAGTGTACCTGTTACCTGCACATAGCAGATGAAGAGATTTGCTAGAAAAAAAACTTTATGAAAATTCAATCTCCTGCCAAGGCACAAAAGCTGTCACTGGTTTCTATTGAACGGATTATTGATATATATATATATCTATATATATACATATATATATATATATATTATTATTTTTTTACACATACATACACATGCGCACACACACATATATACTCGCTGACCCCTTATTAGGTACCCCTTTGCTAGTACCAAGTTGTACGCCCTTTTGTCTTCAGAACTGCTTTAATTCTTCATGGCATAGATTTGAAAAGGTGATGAAGACTCCATAGAGAGTTTGGTCCATATTGCAGTTGCTTAAGATGCGTCAGCTGTGTTGAAAATTCTAAAGCATATATATGATTGTATTACTTGTGTAATTATGTCTTATAAGCTGTAGATGGCGCTGTAGTGCAATGCTAGTCTTTGTATGCATAACTATCTATGATACACAGGAAGCTCTCCCTGTATGCTGTATTCACATATAAAAGTTCTCCAAAGCAAATAGAACTTAATTCAGCATTCCTCAAGATCTCAGTGCTTCATCTAAAACACATATACAACAGGTTCTGGGCCCAGGCACTAAACAGAATACTGCAAGTCAACAAGAGCCATATCCAAGCTACTGAAAGATGGAGAGCTGTTCAGATATGAAGTTTGCAATCGCAAAGCTCAACAATAGCAATTACGAGCTATGGAAGTTCAAACTTGAAATGCTGCTAAGAAAAAAACTGGCAAGTACTGAGTACAGACAGACCCAGTAATGGACCTGCAAAGTAATGGGGCAAGAAGAACAAGCAAGCAAAAGCAATTATAAGTCTGCTAGTAGAAGATGACCAGCTCATCCACATCAGAAAAGAAAATGCAGCTAAAAAGGTATGTGAACTGCATGAAAAAAACTGCATGAGCGTTCAAACCTAAAACAGTACACTATATCTGCTACGCAAGCTATATAAGATGAGGCTAGAAAAAAGGTTAAAAAACGTGTGAACATGTGAATGCCATGCTGGAAATCATAGAACAGCATTGTGCAGTTGCAGAGGAAATTAAAGATAACCACGTGGTGGAATTACGGTTATGCTGCCTTCCAGAGTTGTTAACGCTCTAGAAACCAGACCTGAGCAAGAACACTAGAATACGCTAAAGGTAAAATTGATGAATATGACAGGAAAGAAAATATGCACAATGCAGAAAACGTGAAAGCCCTTAAGGTGCATGAGAGCACAAAACAAAGAAAGCAGAGACTGAAAAAGGACTGTTGGATCTGTAAAGCCAAGCAGAGAAAGCGAGAGGCACCTTCAAGAGAAAGAGCTACGGCGGCTACAAGGAAACTGCAGGCACATCATGGAGCGCTACCTTTAAAGTGACTCAGAACAGTATATCACGTTGATGATCTATTGACTCAGGTGCAACAAGTCACATGACCAGTGATAAGACCTTTTTCACAGAAATTGATTTGATTTCAGTGCAAATGACAAGTATTACTGCGGAAGGTAACGGTCAAGGATTCTTGAATTGCATCACACCGTCAGGGGACAAGCAGAATATACTCGTGAAAAATGTACTGCATGTCCTAGAACCAGAAGAAAGCCTTCTATCAGTGAATACACTTGCTAAGAACGGTCTCACAGTTCAATTCCAAGGTGATGAATGTACAACCCGAAGCAATAAGCAAATCCTCGCAAAAGGAAAAAAAAAAAATCGGATGAACACCTATACAGACTCATCACCACAGACAAACAATCCAAGACAGCACCTCATAATCCACACAATAAATGTATCTATGGCACAGACGACTAGGGCACCGAAACCCAGAAGCCGTAAAAGATATTATAAAGAGAGACTTATCAGAAGATAACCGTACTGTCCTACCAAATGCTCATGACATGAGCTCATGACCTCCTCATGTATCATTTCCCCCCTCCTCTTTTAGATTGTAAGGCCTCAGGGGCAGAGCCCTCCTTACCATCTTGCCTTGAATTGTATTGTAATTTCTTCCTTACATTCTAAAGCTCTGTGCAAACTGTTGGCGCTATATAAAAATACTATGTAATAATAATGACATGCAAATGCTGTATGGAAGCAAAAGCCACACGTACACCACTTGCACAGGCCACTCAAAAGACCACCCACCCCTTGGAGCTTATACAAAGCAATGCGTGCGGACCAATGAAAACTCCATTATCAGCTGGGAGATATCTAATGACTTTCATTGATGATTATTCCAGGTACACAGCAACTCATGCGATGAAGCACAAAAATGAAACATCAGAAAAACTTCAAGGAGTTTGTAGCCATGTCCAGCAACAAATTCCAACGGAAACAAGGAATTATACACACCGACAATGGAGGGGAATACATCAGTAAGGAAGTGGAATCATACCTAAAGAAACAAGGTATAGTACACCAGACAACCACACCATACACTCCTGAACCAAATGATGTAGCAGAACAGAAAAATCGCACTCTTATAGAAATGGCCAGATGCATGCTGTCAGATGCCAACCTAAGTACTGTGGAGAAGCAGTCATGACCATAACAGACCTACAGAACAGACTGCCATCAAAAGCCGTTGAAAGCACCCCATTGAAATGTGGCATGGATTGAAGCCTAGCCTAGGGCCCATCAGAGTGTTTGGATGTAAAGCTTACGCATATATTCCCAATGAGAAATGATCCAAAGTAGAGAACACAGCCATTCAAGGTATTCTGATGGGCTATAGTGAACAAAGTAATGGATATAGAATCCTCCACCCAAAGACTAACAAAGTGATAATAGGATGCAGC